GATAATTTTTTCAGTAATAGGAGGATATCCATTTTAAGTCTTGGGAAGCACAATTGTCATATAGTACTATGAACTAGAGAAGTCTTTGCTAAGTTTACCGTCCTCCTTTTTATATCATTTCACTGTTCTCTTCTTTCCTATAAATTAGAACTTTGAATTGTCAATGACTCTTCCAAAATACAGCACAAGCTGAAGACTGCACAGGGTAGACTTATCAGAGCCTAGAAATGTATCTGATCAATGGAACGGTAAAGAAAGTTGCTCATTTTAATGGTACAATAATCTCAATGTTCAGTCATTAGAAGAGGTGAGGATAATGCTAATAAAAATGGAACCCTCTGGAACTGCTGAGGAAGCCTGTGCTTCTCATTAAGAACTAACATCAACTGATGGTTCATGAAGACAGGTGAAAGAATCATTTGTGGTCCAGCTTTGGCAATGGCCCAAAGTCAGGAGGAGGGGGACTTTCTTTACTTCCCCACATTCTTTATTTCTTTAAGCAAGGCATAATGCTGCAATAGGATTATCAGCTCTAAGTTTTTCTTCTGTGAACTTTCATTTGGAAAGTGCTGTTAAATTAAATTTATGTTAAAGATCACTCACCCAGTGTAATTCAAACGGTGCTGCCAAACCTGGGTAAAATGGAAAGTTGTCACAAGTTTCAGAAAGCACAAGCCAACTAAGGAGAAGGTATTGATGTTTCATGTCCAAAGGGACAGCACAAATGAACAGTTTAAACAACATAAACAAATGAATATTTATGTTGCTGTTGAGACAAATGACCCGACTTGCTTCTGGAGAACCCAATTTAAGGACCTGGGACAAAACACCAGCACTTACACTGACACTATGCACTTTGAGAAGAGACTATTCTCTTCCCAGTCAGACTGACTTGTCCATCTTTTCTCTACTGGATTATGATGGGAAATTCCATTTTAGAACACAGTTTTTTTTTTTTCTGTAAGGAACAGTCTCAAGGAATCTAATCATCTATGTCATTATATGTAGTTGTATCTAGTAATTACATGCAGTTACTTTCACAGTTTTCTAGAAATTTAAGAATTCTTAAAAAAATCATTCATCCCAGGTACTTACTAACATTTGCTTTTTTATGTGTGATGACGCACTTATTATTGCAAGAAATGTGTTACATTTCAATAATTTTACATAGTTGGATTATATTCTAGTGCAAAGGTCGTGTGTATTTTCCATTATAAAACTGACTTTTAAATCAGATTTGGTCTTTTCTTAATTGCATCATATGATTAATGTGATTGGAAAGTTGCAAAATTCAGTGATTCCCAGTGGGTCTTCTATTTCTTCAACAAACAAGTGAAATGCTGCTTGGTTTGTAGTCACTCACAGTGTGTTAAACTGCAGTGCACTTTATCATTATTCTTCTAAGACCTTGGAATAAATAAACTTAAACTAATAAACTCCTCCTCAAAGGATACAACAGTTTTGTAATTTCAAGCATTTAAAAGCCAACTTTTGAAATTAATTTCCCTGTAATATGTCAAGTATCAAAATAAGAGGAAAAGTCAGAAACATATTGCAAATACATGCTTATTCATAGTTATTATGAAGGGTAAATAGTGGCTTTTAGTGTACTCTGAAGTAAAGATGTCTGCTTTTTAAAAAAAGTAAACATAATTACATGGTTCTAAAGCACCTTTACAGATTAGTTGGCCCTTAGATACCTTTGCCCTAGCCTTCTCTTTAATGGCTTTTGATTTGAATTGAGTAGTATTCATTTTTTTTCAAGCTTGTCCTTGATATGTGAGGAGGATAGACATTGCATGTACAGTTTTTGGAATTATACTATTGGCAAATAACCTATTTAAATGGATGAACTGTTATTTTATGTCTAAGTGCTTATGCTGGAAATATAATCACTCCTTGAACAATTAGAGCATTACATTATGAAGGAATTTGATAGGCATAATCCCAAAGTTCTTACCGTGATGCCAGCTATGCTGTAATGTGACATCATCAAAGTGTTCAATATTCAGTGATGTCAAAGTGAAATAGACACTGAACTGAGCTAACAGGTGCTACTCATTCTTTAGGAGATAGAATGTAAGTCACTGGGTGGCTTTGAGACTTCACATTTCCATTCTTTATGGTTCATTCTTAACCTAAAGGGCTGGTGTTCTGTAGGAACCTGACTGGGATTTATGATTTTTAAATGTATTTTAAAAGCATGTTCAAATTCATATTTTGAGTCCAGTCAGTTTGCCTACAAGGTAAACTATGGAGCAGAATAAATAAAAGATAGGCCACAAAGGAATGAAGTGATTTTTGCTTCCTTTTTTAAATGAAAATTTATGACACATTGTTTGGACAGTTGGATTGTCTGCATCTATTTGGGCTGTAGTATCAGAATATCAGAGGCTGATAGCTTTCTATTGCAGGGAAAAGAAATTTGCTTCTCATGGTTCTGGAAGTGGGAAGCCCAAGGTCAAGGTAACAGAGATTTGGTATCTGCTGAGGTCTCCTTTCTCGGAGATGGTGCCTTCTAGTGGTGTGTTTCCATGGTGGAAAGAGTGGTCTACTTTTGGGGGGCCTTTTCAGTAAGGGCACTAATGCCAATCATGAGGACTCTACCCTCACAGTCAAATCTCCTTCCAAAGATTCCTCCTTGTGGTAACATCACCTTGGGGGATTAAGATTTCAACATATACATTTCAGGGCATGCAAATACTCAGACCATAGCAAGCATAGTGGCAGAAAAGAGCCACTGTCACATATTGTGTACAAATGATGCTTGGTTCTCTAAGGAAAAGGCTTAGCAAAACATATTAATGGCAGCCAACAGAAGGGGGACTCATTTAGGAAAATAAGAGGGAAATGAAGGCTGTATAAAATATTATGCTTTAAAGAATTTCTAGTTGACCCTTGTCATTGATTTTGGGGTTAAATTCTTTGATTGGGGATTCTCCAATTTTTTTTTTTTTTGGTACCGGGGATCGAACTCTGGTCCTTGCGCTTGCACAGCAGGCGGCGAAACCACTGAGCCAAATCCCCGGCCCCGGGGATTCTATATAATAAGAACAGTCTTAGAAATAAAAAACGAGTCACTACACTTTTCGTAGATGACATAATTGTGTGTAATCCTGACTTTGTTCCACATACTGTGGAATCCTTTGCTTCTGGAGTCCGATCTTGAGGAAGAACTTATAACATCATACACAGTAGATGTAAATATGATTCAATAACAATTTCCAAAAAATATGATTAGGGATTCTGTGAGCAAGCAGGATAATATGATCTACCTAAAGTTAACCAATGTAATATACTCTGTAAAATGATTATTCACAAAATAACCCCATGCACCTTATTTACTTTGTGTATTTTGGTCATATCCATAGAATTCTATGAATGTATGATGCAAAGTTGTCATTTTTCTCCCAACTCCTATTTCTCTGGTGCTAGTTCCAAGCAAAATGAAAACCCCCCCCACTAATTTAATCACCTGTGTGTGCATACACACAGGTTAGAGGTCTTTCTTTGTCTTTTGGAATGTGCATCAGCCACAATCGTAGAAATAAACTAGGTTCAGTTGTGAAGTTTTAGAACCTCTCTGGTGATAGTGTTTTTTTAACTTTTGAGATAAAAATTTAAAAATTTCTACTGCTTATAATTCATTGAGGTTGAGATGATGTACCATTAACATGGGAGTTGGCTGATGGGGAGAGGCCTCCTGAGGGCAGCTTGGAGGCAGTGTCCTTGAATTTACAAAATACTTGAGTCACAAGTGTTGATTAGCTTCTGATTTTCTGTGACACTGTGGCCGATCTCTTGATCTGTGTCCATGCCTGGCTCTCTTAATGTGCTTTCTCCCCTTTCTTGGGGCTGGGTGAAAGTTGTATAAATAATTCCTTATGCAGAGCTTTCTCTGATCTCTGCCCTTTGTGCTTAGCTTTGGCGGGTTAGGTGAGTGTTTAGCTTTTTCTGGGCAAACATTTTTCAATCATTAAACCTTGAGTGGAAAATGTAGAGAAAACAAATTTTAACCCCCTGTTTATCTTTTCTAATGTCTTTCAGAAGGTTCAAAGTGAAAAGAATGAAGCACTTTCATTTGGGTGGTAATAAATAGCAAATGTTGAAACTTTCCCTTTTCCTTCACGGTGTGGGGGAATCTATTTGTAATATAATATGTGGGCTATAAAGGCTGTCAATTGGGGTTTGTTCTCATCAAACTTTTTTGTTTCTATATATTAGGGAATTATAAAAATGTCTAGAAGTCTTAGAAAGCAGAAGCTGTGGAAGAGCACAGTTTGTTCCACTGCTAAGGGTAATACAAAATATATTGTTATCAGAATAGATCTGTTGTTCACCAAGCTTGTGGTATTTTTAAACACGTATGGAGCCAAACTTAAAGGATAAAGTTTTTATTAGAATGTTGATGAGAAGAGAACATGTGTCAGACAAGAATATATTTTAAACAAAGACTCATTAAAACATGGTCGATACCTCCTTTAAACATCAACAAAGGGACATTTTACATTGATTTTTGCCACTTCATGTATCATGGTTTAAAAATATTTGAAATAAATACTACTTCATCACTGATATCTCACCTTATATAAACCCACTGTGTGAGATCCTCACAGAATCCTCACAGTGGTGGCCATTTTTATACACCACAGGATTTATCCCCAGGGAGATTTGATTTGATTTCCACCTTATGTTAAAAACTCAGTTCAGTAACCATTCTGAGGGATTTCATGGTTACTTCTAGGCACATGTGAAAACAAAGATGCTTTGGCTGCTTTGGTTTGCTTTCTCTCTCTCTCTGACTTGGGGAAGGAGTGCCTAGTGCCTCCATTTGGGTGAATTCCTGAAGATAATGTAATTATTGGTACAATAAACTATTAAGATTCTATGAAAGGAGACATTTTGGAGTTCTGTAAGAGTGAAGATGGAAGAATGGACATTGCTATTTCTAGAGGTGGCCAGGACACTTGTAATTGCCATTTGCTACTTTCATCTTCTAGGTGGATCAAGTTTGAAGAGAAAGTGGAGCAGGGTGGGGAGAGATGGAGCAAACCCCACGTGGCCACGCTGTCCCTGCACAGCTTATTTGAACTCAGAACTTGTATGGAGAAGGGGTCGATCATGCTCGACCGGGAGGCCACCTCTCTCCCACAGTTGGTGGGTAAGTGCACAGTTTTGGATTCCTATTCCTTTTTTGCTCTATGAATCCGTGAGTCTCTATCAATGCAGATGTCTCCTACTATAAGCAGATTTAAATATTTTATAACATTTATTCTTTCATTTTTGTTTGTGAAGCTTAGTGTGGTTTATTGCTGAGAATTTGGAAAATTCAGAAAAATATTAAGAAAACATAAAGGATCATCTCTGGTCATAGCCATTGGTAACATTTTAGAATATCTCCTTCCCAGTTTATGTCCCAATGTTTTATGCTTTTCAGCTTTAGTATTGCAGTTAAGGTCATATTGATATGCACAGATTTGTATTCATTTCCTTAACTTATTAGCAGAAGGTTAATATTTTGCATAAGTCCTCTCCCCTGGCCAGCCTGATTGTATTGGACTAGAAGTCTGGACACTAGATTTCTAGCACTCTTTCACACTAGGCATTGCATGGAGCTTGGATTTCATCATTTGTAGAGTTTAAAGCTACTGTAAGAAGGGAAGTAGTCTAGTTCCTGGTGGTGTCTGATTGTAGGTGAGTGTTAGGTCTGTCAGCTCTGTGTAAACAAAGGTCGTGTTGGGACAGGAAAGCAGAAGGGTTAGTGACTGGGCCAGGACACATCTGTGCCAAGTATCATTTGTGGAATTTCTCTGCCTGAAATTCTGCCATGTGGACATTCATTTCACTTGGACAGGTTTTTTTTTGGGGGGGGGTGGGTCTATACAAATATACATACTCTGGATGGGGTCATGTTTCAATTCTATGAGGTATAGAGAGGTGTCACAGAAAGAATGCTGGATTCAAAGTTTGAGGCTTTAATCAAAGTTTCCATGTGATAGCATGGATGAACACAGGCAAAACAAGTTATTTAACTCTTTGGAGGCTGGTTTCCTCATCTGTGAGAGCAGCATGAAAGTAGATCTTTCAGAGTCATTATGAGAACTCAACAAGATCACCAGTTGTAGTTGTAATTTTATCCCAGTATAATTAGCTTATCCAGCTCGTCTAATGTTACCTACTAAAGGGCTGAGTGGAGCCTGATCGAGTCAGGGAGAGAGATGCTCAGAGACTTCACGAGCAGGAGAAAAGGTTCCAAAGGGTGTTGTGGGCAGAGCTGGAAACAGCTGTACAGGTTCTTTGTTATTCTTGGAGTTGACAACAAGGGTGCTGAAAGTTAAAGTTGAATTAAACCCTTGAGCTTCTCTATAAAACTGTCTTTATGATCTTCAGCACCAGAAAGAGCCACTTTAAGGCACTTCTGGTCTTCCATAACTAACTTATCTTTTACATGCAGTAGAAACAGAGTCCCACATTAAATTGGAACCTCTTTAGCCAATGGACACAGACAAGTTTTGGTATTTACTAAATATAAGAAAGGTCAATCAAGGATTTGATGTTCTTGCTTTAATTATCCATTACTTTTTTATCACCAATTGTGAACTTTTTCTCTAACCTTCATGCATTTATTTTAAAAATTGTCATTACATTTTAAAATTAGACAAGACTCAGTCACTTTGAGATATCATCATTCACTAAAATGTTGCTCCACAGGCCCTGGGGCAAGCAGGCCGAGAGCCAGGGCTGTCATTCTGGAGTTGATAATACAGAAAAACAGTTCAGAGGCAAACCACACATTGAGAGGAAAACATAAGGGAGGGGAAAAGGCCAGTTTGACAGGCGTGGGGTGAAGAGTGTGATTGAAACTGGATAGCAAGAAATACAAATCCTCTAAAAGAATAAAAACCTTACAGAGGCTAAAACATGAAGAACAAAAAGGCCTGATTTCATTTTAAATGGCAGAGGACAGCACTATAATTTGAAGAGTGATAGTAACTATTTGTTGTTAAGAAAATCCTTTTCTAGCAGAGGATGATGTGGAGTTGCTTTTTCTTGCATCGTGCTGATAATTCTGATAATTCTGAGTTGGGAATTATGTACAACTAAGCCTTAAGATGCATCTCCCCTAACACCTCAATTTTATTTCAACAAATGAGAAGAAAAAGAAATAATAATAAGTGTGATTATATTGAACATTAGTATGGTTTCCGTCCTTCTGCATAGTCCTCCTGCCACCACTTCTCTGGGGCCTGTTTTGGCCAGGCCTCGCACTGAAGACTTGATGGCAGCACCTGGAGGGTCCAGAACTGCACAGATGTAAGCAGCACGACTACATGGACAGGGTTCACTCTCTTACATGAAAAATTCAGCCTAATTACGACTCTTCTCTGGGCCTCTCTGTACTTTTCTTCATGAAGAACCACTTCTGGATGCTAATAAGATAATTTATCTTTAAAGTATGATAAAGGATAAAACATCATTTTCAGGGATTATTTTAATAGGTCTATTATTAGCAGCATCATTGCAGTTCTACTTTTAAAGAATATGATTCATGCATGAAGCCAAGCACATGGGAATTTCCTTCCCATCCTCAGCTAAAACATTATACACCATTTGAGGTATTTTATTATGATGAGAAATGGATTTGGAAATGTAGCTTTTTTGGAGCTCATTTTTATGTGTAGAGGCATTCCTGCGCTGTGCATGTATGTCAACAGATGTGTGAGTCCTGTTGTGTCTTGCTTTTTACAACTTTTATATTTTCAAAATGGCATTTTCTTTATTGTTTTCTCCTTAATCATGAAACTAAGATATGTTTGTTTTAAAATAATCTAGAAAAATACAACTTCAAAAATAAAAATAGTAATCTTCCAGAAGTATCCTCTCAGTATTTTTTTTATGCAACTCTGTTTACATATATATAACTTATTTCCCAAAGTGGGGTCATACCATATCTGCCTTTTCTTAAATTTAAAAACATAATGTCATTATTTTCTGTTATTAAATATAAGCATAAGCATAATTTTTATGACTGCAAAATATTCAGTAGTCTATTACTGGGCATTTAATTTGACTTCAGGCTTTTATTCCAAGGAAAAGAAAGTGAACATCTTTGATATATTTTTGGGAAATTGATTATTTCCTTATAGATTTCTAATGGCATAATATTCAAAAGGTTTGAACCTGTTAAAGGCTTTTCATGTGTATTTGCCAAAGATCTTCACAAGTGGTTGTACTAGTCAATATCACTATCATCATCAGTTGTATCGGTCAACTTTCTCATGGCAAAGACACTATCTATACCTAATGCATATGACCTCAAGGAGGAGATTTTTCATTTGTCTCATGGTTTCAAAGGATTCAGTTGATGGTCTGTTGTTCCAAGGCAGAAGCATAGTGAAGGACATGGTGGAGCAAAGCTGTATACTTTATAGTAAGCAGGAAGCAAAGCAGGAGAACAGCACCAGAGAAGAGGGGGGTCAGGTACCAGACATAGTACTCAAAGCCAGGCCTCCATGGCCCACCCAGACATACCCAGAAGTGCTCTTTGCATACCCCTCTTCAGCTTTTGAGCCAATTAAGTTCACAGTCCAGCTTAACTATCACAGCAGGCAATGGACTTGCCTTTTGCACATACCATGCACACCACGAAGGGTTGGTTTGTCTTTAATTTTTACTGCTTTGATTGATTTGAAACTACCTTATAATTCATTATATGTGCATAAATTTGTTTAAATTATCTCTGTTAATCTGAAAGTTGGACATTTATCTATATTTTTTGTCCACTTGTATTTCTTTTAGTAATGCTTATCTATGATCTTTGCCATTTTTCTGTTGTGTGGCCATCTTCCTCTTGATTTGCAAAAGCTCTGCATGTATCAGTTCTTTGTCTATAGAGCTTATTTTTTAAAATAAAGAAAAATATTTTGTGAAATGGGGAAAGATCTGCAGTATGAGTCAGAAAATATGCTTTTATTAGGGGCTTTTGCCTCTGATTGGTCTGTGTCTGTAGGCAAGTCACCTTTCTAGACTCTCTTTCTTGTCTGTATTACAGGAGATTGAACTTGATGTTCCCTGAGGTTCCTTTCAGCTCTGCTATTATCTGGAGGTGGCACATTTTCTCCCAAGTGGTAGAATCTGTGGGATTTTGAGCTGAAGGCTTAATTTCAGTGTAGTTATAAAATGTTACTGCCTTCACTTTCCTTTGAAAAGTTTTCCAGCTATGCTTAAAGAGATCCCTATAATGTGGGCCATTTTTATATAAATTTAAGGAAGAGCATAGCACACAGATATCCTAACTTGTTCTAACTGGTGATTTCCAGGCATTAGTAACAGGACCGGGCATGCATGAGTATGATTGGTTCGCCATTTCAAGGGAGGGTGAGAATAGAGGGAGGACCTGCCAGGAAGGGGAGATAAGAAACATTTTAATCCACAACCCTGGAATTAGAGTAGGAGTTTGATAACACTTGGTACAGATATGCTGGGGCTGTTTGTTTGTTTTTGTGGTTCTTGTGTAAAATGGACTTTCCACATGGAATAGGACTTAAAGGTGAAATGAGGGGATGTGTTTTGTAGGTACTTGATTATTTTACTGTGGAACAGAGGCCTAATTGTAATTACAGGATCAGTTCTGAGAGTTTTACTAAGTGGAGTTTGTGTAGTTAAAAATATTGAGAGCTAACAGCCACTCTCAAACTGAAGCATTCACAGAGAAACTTCCTGTCCCGCCCAGGTTCCCTACCAAGTGGTCCAGGGTTTGTGATATTTATGGCATCCATGTAAGTCATATGAAGTAAATCCTGGATGTAGCCTCTGTTGGTTTCCAAATAGCTAATTGTATACAGTGTAAGTTGCTGATTTCTAGCAGTAGATTGTGAGGCAAGTTCTGTGAATGCTTGCTGTGAAGATGGACTATGAGAGTGCAGTCAAGCCCAACAAAGTGCCATGAATACTGTAACTTCTCTTTACAAAGAAGCAGTGATCCTTGAGATTTGTTGTAATGTTACTACTACCCATAAATTTTCTTGTCAGACTTTTGCAAAAGAATAGCTTTTATTCTCTTTTGTAATTTTGTATTTTTCTCTGAGAAGCTTGCTTAAGAGAAAAAATAGGGATGTATGCTAGACACATCTAGGTACCAGGAAAGGTAGGCATGGAATCCATTGTTTTGGTTTGATGCAGGGGACAAAAGCTGTACCTGAACACAGCCAGGGCATGGTCAGCACAGGTTCTGTGTTGTTTTGTCCTTGATCTCATTCTGGGTTGAGGAAAATGTTGGCCTGTCCCCTCCATGCTGCACCAGGCTGCATTTACACTATATTGTTGACATCCTGGCTGGAAGACTGAGGATGTCTTACTTTCTACTAAGTTAGAAACGTTCAGTAAAGTGAACCATGAAGCTATTTCAGTGAAATACACCCATCTCTTATATAGTTAAAAGTAAACTAAAAAAAGAGCTAATAGAAATATGATTTTTTGCTAAGCCTGACATACGAAAATTTTGTAGAAAAATTTAGTCTTGTTATACCTAAAGTGACCAGTGGAAAGCCTTTTGCAAAGCTTTATTTGGATCTACATAGGAGAATAAGCCTACCTTCTTAGAAAAGATGAGTAAAATTTAGTGGTTTGCTATATTTTTCATTGAATTAGTTGGTGTTTAAATGACCTGATATTGCAATAGGGTATTGCTTTACTATACCTTGTTCTATTGTAAAGAAAATGTTACATCAGAGAATTTGGGAAAATAAATATAAAAAATGAGTGCAGTCACTACATTAAGTTTTGCATATTCTCTTCAAGGGTTTTCCTGTCATTAGTATTTCTAATACATAATAGAATTCATGAGATTTTAAAATCTTTTTAAAAATTGAAAAATATAATAATGGCATACCTCATAAAAGAAGGTGATTTATGTGAATCCATCAAAATTAGGATTGAAAAATATTTAACAAGAAAATTCTGTTTCTCCAAACATACAATTAACACTAGAATATTTATCACTAATTAATAACAGTGTTCCTGTGCCTGGTATTTTTATCCTTTACATTATATAAGGAGTTGGAGATTTGGACAATAATATATTAATGTTACATTTATGATGGGCATCCACAAAGCTAGAGTAAGAAATTAGTGTTGCGGCTTTGTGACTGAGGTTGATTTTTGTTTTTGTTTTGCTTTGCTTTGGTATTAGAGATGATTGTTGACCATCAGATTGAGACTGGCCTATTAAAAGCTGACCTCAAGGACAAGGTGACTTATACTCTGCTCCGGAAGCACCGGCACCAGACCAAGAAGTCTAACCTCCGGTCCCTGGCTGACATTGGGAAGACGGTCTCCAGTGCCAGTAGGATGTTCACCAACCCCGACAATGGTAATACAGGGCCAGCAGGCCGCTGCTCTCTCTACCTGTCTCAATGTTACCCCATCTGTTGTCATCTTTGGTTTACCGTTCTCCATATTTCTTCCCCCTCACCTGCATATGCTGCAATCATTTCATAGTGACACTCTCAGGCAGGTTCAGTCTCACTGGGAAGGTTCAGTCTCACTGGGAAGATTCACCGTTACTGCAGGCCACCAATGTGGTGGAGTGATGCGTGCTCCATATGCACCTGATCTGATCAAGATAGTTTGGTGAAAGCTTCGATGAAACAACTGCACACTGCAGATGAACCAGCAAATTTGTGGATTATCCAGGACCACAGGGAATATGTTTTTGAATGATGGTTTGCCAGATTTGGGATATAGTCAGATAATTGCCTTGAAATTTCATATCACAAAGTATATGTTAGGTATTTAAGGTAGTGTTCAGCCTATGAATGATCATTACATCAAAGTAAGATTCAAGATTGTTTTTACCACTTCCAGACCCAGTTTGCTCTTTTGATACCTGATAATGAGGGCCAGGTGGGAGAATGATCATTCAGAATTGAATATTAATCCAATTATAGAACAATAGGGAAGCTAGTATGTACTATTTGCATTTTATTACATTTGTGAATGTTTCCTGTAAAGTGTATCTTTTGTGTCATTCTCTTTGTTTCAAATAAGTTTCATGATTGGATACAGTCTGGGAAGGGAGAGTCTGGTTTCCAGAAGTGTGGGAAATGAAGGTGTGGTGCAGAGTTGGAGTTGGGTCAAGACCCCAACCCACCCCCCACCCCCACTGTAGTAAGAGAAGTGAGCCCATAAGGATCCCAGTTCATTGCTCGCCGCTGCACTTTTAGAATAACATTGTATGTGTTATGGAAAGGTAAATTAAGTGAATTGTAGAAACTGAAATCCAACTCATCCACTCCATTTCTAGAAATGAGGTTTTTCTGAGCTTACTATGAGAAATTTACTGTTACATTTTAAAGGAAAACTGGTTTTGAACAAATAACTTGAATAGAAATATGCTTTATAAAAACATTCACAAGAGAGAATCTAATCCTACTATAATCCTAGATTCTAATCCTACTACAGTTCAGCAGCCCTACCTGGAATATGGTGCTAATAGGAGATGATTTGGCATTGTGTACCTTGTCTTTACTTAATTATTTTTTAAATTGAGTTTTGAAGAGAGAGGCTGTTCAATGGCTGGAAAGGTCATAGAATGAACAGTTTGTTATAACTGAGGTTACAAATATTTCATTTTAAGCGACCCATGTATTTGGAGTCACTGCAATTGATGTTGAAGTTTCTCTTTCTATCTTATGTAATAATCCTCTTTCTTTTATAAAATTAAATTCCAAGAGCTGGAGAGTCTTTTTAATCACGGGGTAGTGGTGGTATAAAGGAGTAAGGGAGCACACTGTTTTCCAGTGTTCCTGTATTTGCAAGTTTACACCACCAGGTTCTTTAAATTAGTGTGGTGCTATTCATTTTCATGGAACTGCAGACAGAGTAGAAGTTAGGAACAGGAGTCTTGAGCTTGGTCTCTCATGCTTTTGCAGAAAGTGTATGGATGTGGAATAAAACTAAAGAGTGGATATCACCATCATCCAATCTTTCTTCCGATCAGTTGACCTCTGTACCTCAGAGGAAAGTTGAAATTGCTTTCATCATTCACCTTTTCACTTGTGAAATGTCATATATGCTGGACAGAAATCAAATAGGAAGGGTAGGCAGTTCTTTTCCAGCTCTTCAATTGATCGGCTTATGCCCTGAAGCATAGGCTGTGATTAGATCTTCTTAAACATGTTATTATTAGCCTTTGTGTTACTTAACTCTTTTTAAAATACCACAGGCAACATTTGGCTTTGAAAGATCCTATAGCAGTGAATTTCACGTGCCTTAAAGGTACATTGTGGTACATTATTGGTTGGCAAATTTTTGGCTTTCTAAGGTGCTTGTTCTTAACTTGAAAGTTTACACAGTGACTTTTTTATATCTTGGGGTTTAATCACTTAGTATCTGTAAGAACTATGAAGGGCTCTTAGAATAATCTTCTAAAATAAAAATTATATAACTCTTGCTACTATTTTAATAAACCAGAATCTTAGGTCTTTTGTAGTTGGAACTAGATTCTAATACCCTCATATAAAACCTAGATAAACTCAAGTCACCTTGATCTTCTATAATAGGTGGGAAAATAGACCCAGTGACATTGCCAACTTTAGTTACACTGCAGCAGCATGACGAATAGCAACATTTCTGGGAGATCCATCAGAATTGGGAATTTTCCCTTCCCTGGGTGTATGCTGGAGCTTCCATCTATGTGAAGAGCCAATTGTTGTCAAGAATGTTGCAAGCTGGTTGTTAAACACAGCTGCTATTAAAAATTAAATTGTATAAATGTATAATTAAATAACTATCAAAAACAAAGGTAATGAATACTCAAAAGTCATCAATTCCTACCTATTTCACTATGATCTATGTAATTGACATCACTCCATCCATTATGCCTGTGAGGTAGAAACACTGCAAAATGTGCATGGATAGACATTGCTTCCCGGACCAGCATTCAGGGACTTCCGGGCTGGAGATGAGCCCTGGTGGTGGTATTTATACCACTGAGACCAGCAAATGCTACAAAACATGGCTTGATTTATCATTTTGAAAATGTTCACTTGACTTAAAAAATGATGGAAAAAATTTAACAATGGAGATTAAATTTACCAGTATGTACCTAATTTTTTTTTTTTTTTGGTACCAGGGATCCAACTCTGGTCCTTGCACTTGTGCAGCAGGTGGTGAAACTGCTGAGCTAAATCCCCAGCCCAAATTTACCAGTATGTAATGTCAGTAGCTGTTCAAATGTGAATTGTACACAAGTTCAAGAAATATTTTTTGGTAACAAACACTATCATCCAGTTTAGCTAGAGAGTCACTCACGTCACAAAACATGATGGAAGTCTGAGATACATCTTTCTTGTTTTACTTTTGTCTTACTCAGTAACATACATGATGATACCTGTCAACATGGATGTTGGAACTATGTTTTTTGCCTTTAAACCATAAATTGGCTACTGATACAAGGGCTTAGCAAAGATCAACAAAATTATTCTGTGAGAACCAACTATATGTGCAATTTATAGTACAGAGTTACATATTTTATTTTCTACAGTGTGTGCTGTATATCTTTTATAAGTAAAATTTACTACACATACTCACATTCACATGTGCGCACACAAACACACACACACACACACACACACACATCTTTCATAGTTGGTTTTCAAATATTTCCCCTAGTAGCATGCAACTGTTTTTATTGATAGCTAAAAAGCCATATTTTTAGAGTTCTAAGATGGTCTAGGATTTAAGATGATTTTGTATTTTTAAGAAGAAGTAAAAACCATTTTAATCTGAGGCAGGAGGATTGCAAGTTCAAGTCCCTCATTGGGTGGCTTTGCAATTTAGCAAGACCCTGTCTCAGTATCAAAATGAAAGAAAGGCTAGGGATATAGCTCAGTGTGAAGATATTGGATTCAACCCCAAGTACTGCAAAAAGGAAAGAAAAAGAAAAACAGTAATGACATGTAAAGTATTTAGAATGGTAACTGACACATAGTAAGTACTGAACAAATGTTATTTGATTACATACATATTTAAGCATAATAATTAGGGAAGGTAAATCTCATGTGAGCAGGAATGGTTGCTAGAATATTGTTTTCTAGCTTACTATCAGGAATAAACTCATGGACACAGTCCCAATTGATTTCCTGTGCCTTTCTTTTCCTTTTCCTTTTTCTCTCTTTCTCTTTCTCACTTTCTTTCTTGGTGGTACAGGGTATTGAACCCAAGACCTTTGCACTGAGCTACTTTCCCTGTCGATTTTTCCTTTCTTCTTTTGAGATGATAACCCTAAATTGCCCAGGCTGGCCTTGAACGTGCATCTTCCTGCCTCAGCGCCACAGTGCTGGGATTACCGGTGTGCACCACCACTCGCAGCTGCTCTGGGCCTTAGTGTAGGTGATACCGACATGCTTTCGCAAGCAGCAGGAGGGGAGGAGCCTTTCTCTTCACACCCCTCTTGAGCACCAGTCTCTCCCCACACTGGTTTTACTCTTGGCTGTGTGGTTCTCTGGAGCCTCAGACCTCCCTGGTGCATCCACCTTGTCTGACTTGGAGCAGGCGGCAGCTCCAAGCAGGGCAGTTGGCTGCTAGGGCTTGTGCTACTTCCCTATCCTTTGCCTGAGGCCTTAGTCAGTGCCTCTTTTGTGTTTATAGGGATCCAAGGCCTGCTCCTGATTGAACTTCTGGGTGTTATATTCAATTCACCACCTTTATCGTTGAATAAGAACTATGTGATCCATTTGTTGTCCCCACTTTCTCTGAAGCTGGGGTCCTCATTCAAGGTTGTCTACTGGCAGGAGGCTGCCTTTTAGATTTCCCCCACACGGCTGCTTTGACAGGAGTGCAGAACACTGGGAGGTACTTTAAAAATATTGCTATTTCCTACAGTAACAGACAGACAGTCATTAGCATTGCAGAACAAACAATAGAAAAATCAGTTCTTGTTGTTGTTGTTTATAGAAATGCAAGTGGGATCAGTCAGGCTCTTTTTGCTTTGGCTCTGACTCAGCAGTTACTCGGTTTCAGTATCAGATCAAGCCACCTGGACCCCAGCATGTGTTGGATCTGGTAGGACCACTGCCAGGTGCATCACCTCTCTCTGTCCCCCACAGGGTCACAGTTTTGTCTGAGCTTTGTACTGCAGCTGGCCCTTCAGTCCCTGGCTGGGGTGATCTGCTTTGCAACCTCCTTACTTCCACTCGAACACTTGGGTTCAGACAGGTCCCTGGGTCAGTGGGTAGGCAGACCTTTCCCTGAGGCCCTCCAGGCTTCATTCGTCTAAGCAGGCTGACATGCCTGTGTAGTTCTGAGAGGAGGCAGGCGACCTCTTGCATCCTCCGACCACGGCACCAAAAGCGTGTCATCTTCCCAGGT